ACAAGACTTGTCTATGTAGAAAGGAGAGGCAAAAAGCCCCCTCCTGATGAAGCTCAGGGGTATCCTTACACTGTAGGCCTCACCATAGTACACAGGGTAGTGATTTTCATTCATGATGATTCTGCGTCTTCAAAAGAGAGTGAAAGCCGTGGTTCTCACCTGGTTCTCATCGTGGTTCTCATCTCTCCCTTTGCCCTCCAGGAGACTTGGCATTGTCTGGAGACAGTTTAGAGTCACCACTGAGGAGTTGCTATTGGCAGCTAGCGAGGGAGCCAGAGGACTCTCTACTACACCCTCCAACACATCAGGGAATTACCAAGTAAAAAACGCCGGCAGTGCCGAGGGGGACAAGCCCTGAGTTAAGGTCACAGAAAACGAATACATTTTCAATATATCTTAGAGACTGAGACTTAAACATGATTATATATGTGGCAGTTTGAAAGTCTGAAGGAGTGAGCTTTAGTATTTGCGTGTGTAGGAGCTTGAGAGTGCAGCAAGTGATGTGTCCCTTTATAATGAAAAAGAAGCATCTTTGTCCTCCGAACACCTACGAGTATTTTATGGATCCAGAGACTATCTCTAGAAATTTTGGAGGGGAGCTTAGAAAGAAGCAAAATGTGTCCAATAGGTTTTTTGTGAAGAATTTTATATAATGTAACCAATTTATTGAGGGTAATAAGGTTTTGGGGGATAAACATGACTTCTTTGTACTTTTCTAATTACTTTTCCCTCAGCTGGCTGGGCATGGCTTCTTCACAGGCAGCTGGCTCTGATTCATTCATTTCTGTTAGTTTTGGTTATTAGATCACTGTCTTGTTGGCATATGATCTAGTCTTCTCAGTCTCAAAGTAAACCTCTTCTCCCCTCAGCACTGCTTGGAAAACCTCTCTCTCTCTCTCTCTGTGTGTGTGTGTGTGTGTGTGTGTGTGTGTGTGTGTGTGTGAGAGAGAGAGAGAGAGAGAGAGGGAGAGAGAGAATTAGAGAGAAAAAGTTAGTCTGATTTGTCCGACCTCTTCCCTTCCAGGTACCAGCTCCTCTTTGGGGCGTGTGAGGTGGGGATTGAGAAGATGAGGTAAGACTAAATGACTCATACTTAACTGATGAGACATTCAGGCTCTCCTAGGCCCTGCTGGACCCCACCTGAGGGCCTCGCACTGCACTCCTCTGATGTTTATTTCTTGGGTTTCTACTTCAATAGTCCTGGCAAGACCACAGCCCGCTAATTTCCCATGGCTGCCACAGCAAACTCCCTGGCAAGTGGACTGGTATAGGAACCACATTCCAGTCCTCCTGAAGCCTGGGGAGTTTGCAGAGATAGGGAGAAGGCAGTCCCAGCCCTCTCTGTGAGCAATGCCTCACCAGACTCTCCGCACTTCCTCTTGCCCTGCCCGTAGGTAGCACGATGTGGGTGACACTAGCAGTCCTGTGGCAGGCCGTGCTCCCACACAGACCCTGCCTCTCCCTAGGGCAGCCCTCTTACCTGCCAAAGGGATTTTGCTGCACTACTTCCTTCCCTTCTGGAGCCTCCCTTTCTTCAGTCTCCTGGAAATGGTGGCTGACTAGCTGGTTCTCTCTCCCCTGACATCCACCCTCCCCCCATGGTACTCAAGGGAACTCCCAGACGTTTTCCTACTCCACTTGAAAGGGTGGGAAATTCAAAGTGATACCCACTCTGTCTCTAACATTTCTCAAAACTATCTGGCCATCAGATTTCTCAATGGGACTGTCAAGGCCATCTTCTTAGCTCTGATGAGGGTAGGGAAGGGAAGGGTAAGAGACACCCATATAGATAGACCCATGTCTAAACTCTCCATCAAACTTCTCTCCCCTCCCCAGTTCCCCTGGAGGCAGGGAGCAGTTGGGGGGGGGGGGAGAAAAGAAAGAAAGAAAGAAAAAAAAGTCCTTGCTCTGCCTGTTCCCATTTCATTATTTTCTGTTAATCTGGGTGGCAACTTTTTTAATTTAAAAGCTAGGAATTTAGTACCTTTCATCTTTGCAGTGGGCATTTTCTAAAACAGTCCTTCTCAATCTTGGAAGCGTATTCATATTATCTAGAGAGCTTTCCAAAAAATAAATCAAATCAGAGTATCTGGGGAGTGAGGCCCGGCTATTGGGAATGCTCAGGAGCCCCTGGCTGCGGGATGATACATAAGAAGGCTGGGAACCACTGCTCCGGAAAACACAGGCCCCCAGGGGGCTGGGAGGGGAAGAAGACATCAATTAAGAGCTCATATTGCATCCTGTCACAAAATGCAGAAGCCCAGGCACAGAGAGGCTGGGAAACTATCTTCAGGTTACACAGCTAGTAATTTTCAGATCTAATAATGGAGACCCAAAGCCCATGTTCTCCTTCAGTGTAGTAATAAGGCTCCTAAGCCAGAGTGGCACACTTGATCTGTGCTTTCTTCCCCACTTCCCCTTCCTCTTCCTCTGCCCACAGGCCCCCTCAGCACCTTCTATAAGGAGTGATCCGGAACTGGTTCAAGCAAAGACTGTTGAATACAGTTTCCCTTTGGACATTTAAGATTCTCACTCCATCAGCAGAAAGATCAGTTCTGGAGGGGCAAACCAGGATTTCACTGACTTAATCAAATGCCCATCCACTGTGTTTGTTCCCCCAGGGAAAAGCTGCTGGAGATGAACAAACAAGAGGGTCAGGATGGCTGTTTTACCAAGCTTTAAGAAGTTAAGGAAAATCACCACCATAAGTGACAAGGAAATGGAAAGAAACACCACAGTCTCCCTTGGCTAACCCATTATTTGGGGGCCAGCACAGCCCACCCTGTTAATTCTTTCCTCCTTCAAGACTCTGCTGAGGCAAACATCCTCGAAGAAACCTTCCTTTATCTCCTCACGGGTCTGAGTTAGGGAAACTTCCTCATTGCTTACAAGCACTCTGGCTTCCCTCCCACTGCACTACTTTATAAAGTATCAGCTTATCTCTCCTTTTCACCAGACCATGAACTCCCTGGGGAGGAAGGATCTTGTCCTTGACCTGTATCCTTTGCCTCTAGCACAGTCCCTGGCACAGAGAATAAATTCAATTACTATTTCTTAATGACTATCAATATTTTATTATTATAAAAATGATAAAATACAGGGGGTAGCAGCTTAAAATTTTGTACATCAGAAAAATGAGTCATAATGTAGATAAAGGTTAGATGACCCAAGCTGGAAAGTCATTAACTATTTTCAGCTCCTTTTTACAGCTGGAAGTCAACCCTATCCTGGTGCTTAATTTCCAGGGTAGAGGGGACCAGAACAACTGGACAGAATCTAAAAGTGATTTAATCAGTGATGCTGATTCACTACTTGGTACACCCATGGTCACTATCACCAGAAGCCACATAAACCCCTGTGCTTGGTGTTCTGCACAGCAAGTTTTATGTCGACAATTACAAAGCAGGGGCATTTTAACATAACAAAAAACACGGACATGTTTTTTACATGTGCCATGAAAATCATGGGTATACCTTTTTCAAACAAAAATGTAAGACTCTATTAATGTTTATTAGTCTGAACTTTGACAGTAACTTGAGTATGGATGAAATAGAACCTACTGGTTAGTTGCTTATTTGATAACTTTTTATTTTATTTTATTTTATTTAGAGAGAGAGTGTGAGAGAGGGAGCCAAAGAGCAAGGCGGGGAGGGACAGAAGGAGAGAGGGAGAATCTTAAGCAGGCTCCACGCTCAGCGCAGAGCCCACTCCAGCCTATGTCTCTCAACTCTGAGATCATGACCTGGGCTGAAATCTAGAGTCAGATGCTTAACCACTTGAGCCACCCAGGTGCCCCCCCAATAAATCTTTTGATCTATGAATTTGTATAAGGCTTTTTGAAAAGAAATGGGGGGGGGGGACGTTTGGGTTTGATACATGACCCATACTGACCCTAACAGACTTTAACATCAATTTTAAGGTGGGGGGCTGAAAAAAAATAATGGCAAACCACTCAAGAGCAAATGTAAACAAATGCTTCCTCTCCTTTTACAGATGGAGAGTGTGTAGGTGTGTGGAGAAAGCGATGCGTAGGGCTAAAGACCTGAGAAGGTGAGACATGAACTGATTTTTCTTCTCTGCCATGCTTTCTAGTCACACTGCCAGGCCAGGCTTGCAACGAAACTGTCAGTTTCTAGTCTTTCTCTGAAAATGTGACTGCTTCACCCTACAGGAAGGGCTTATGGGTTCTAAATTAGAAAATATACCCGCAGTTGACGCTTATTATTTGCGTACTCCGTATCTGTGAATTTTCCTCATTAAGTCATTCCAGACTTAGGCAGAGCTCGGGGAAACTTGGGCTGGCAGGCGCGCCTACCTTTCCAGCTGAGGTCAAACAAGGCGAAGCTCTCCCTTGTTTCAGTAAAAAAGTGCCCTTTTCATACGCTACAGATATACCATTTTTGTGCTTTTCAGGGGAGGAGGCTGATTTTGCTATTTAAAATGGCTCACGTGAAATGTTGGTCAGTTCAATAAGCTCACCGGGTTTCACTCAGGTGTCAGTTCTAATGATGATGGCCCTGAGCTCAAAGTTCATGAGTCAACAATACCTAAATACGGTATCTTTAAACAGAAACCCACATAAAACAAGGTTATATATTGATCATTTAACAAAAATATTGAGTGCAGAGGGTCACAGGATCCAAACTCCGTATTTCCATCAGGAGCTAGGGTTCTGTGTCGTAAATCCAAATCCACCCTCCTTCCTCCCTCCCTGGGGATCTGCCCTTGGCTGCCTGGGCTTGAGAACCCACTTCAGCCGGGTCAGGCATTGGCAGGGCCTGAGTAAGGCGCCCGCAGCCAGGGGTGGGCGCCCTCGGTGCCGCGCGCGGAGCGGCCGGCAGGTGGCGCCCGGCGGCGGGCTCCTTCCGCGCGTGGTCCGGGCCAGGTGGACTGGACGCCGCGGAGCTAACCACAGCGGCAGTGCAGGCGGCCCCGGTCCCCCACCCCTTCCACGCAGCGCTCGCGACAAGTGCGCAGGAGAGGGCGGGCGCGTGCGGCGGGGCCAGCTGCGTTCCGAGCCCGGGCACCGCCGCCTGCTTCTCTGGAAGCGCCTGGGAGCCCCGCGGCGCGGAGTCCGAAGACGGCCACCATGGAGGCGCAGGCACAAGGTGAGTGGTCGCCCATCGCCCTGAGGGTCGCGTCCTGGCGCTCAGAGAGGCGCTTTCCCGGCACCACGTAACTTTGCTCTCGGACAAAGCGGATGGGTGCCATCTCACACGGCCGCCGCTCTCCGCTCCTGCCCGCGCCTGCGGGATAATCACTGCTCCCCAAACTCGGGATTTGCTGTGAGGCTGGGGCCAGTGGAGACGCTAAGTGGAGAGGTCTCTCCGCTGGAAATGCGCCCACAGAGCGCTCGACTTCTTTTCCCAGCCAGTGCCCCCTCTTCCCCCTCCCCCGCTTTCCCAACCTCGCGAGTGCCCGAAGGACCTGTTGTGCAGGGTCTGGAATCCGCGAGGCGTTCCCCTTGCCCTTGGGGGAACAGGAAGGGAGCGCGACTCCTCTCGGCCTGAGCCGTGGGCTGGCGTCCCGTCCCAAGTTCAAGCTGGGCGGCGCACGCTGGGGTGGGGGCTGCGCGGAGACCCGGGGCTCACGGCTGCGCCAGGGGCTTGCCCAGCCCGGACTTGCCTTCTGAGGCAGGAGAGCGTCACCCGCCCGGGGATCTCTAAGCGATAGACGCGCGTGCCCTCTTTTTCCAGGTCGGGGAGCAACCTCTGCCTCCCCGCCGGGCGGGGCGCGCAGGGTCCCGGGCCGCAGTCCGGCCGCCTCGATCCCCGCTCCTGGGGTCGCCCGCTGTAGGAGCCCCTGGCGGCGGCGTCACCAACGGCAGCCTCGGGTCTTGGGGTCATACTGGGGCCAGGGGTAAGGAATCCGTATGAAACTGTGCGAAAAGGGGAGTACGTGGAGAGAAAAGCAGAGGTGGGCGGATGTCTAGCTGGAGTCTGGTAAGGAAGGACAATGACCGTGGAGCCTACATTGGGAACACCACCAAGAAGGGAGGGATGCGGAGTTCAGCCCTGTTTAGCCTTTAAAACAATCACTACCTTTCTTCCACACTGCAAGAAATACTGTGATGGCTTTTAAAATAGAAATTTAACCAAGGGAAAAAAAAAAAAAGGCAAAATAAAGGTAAAAAAGGTTCCAGACCCTTTCCCGAATGATAGGGATTTGGTGGGTGCTTGGGCCTGGCTGGAGTCGCCCAGCAGGTTTGCTGCCAGGATTACAGTTGCCTGAACAGTACGAACCATCCTGGTGTGTTCCATCAGCCAAGATCCTGCCCATAAAGCTGCAGCTTCCAGTGTTTTTTATTCCCCATTACCTCAATAGGAAAGGAGAATTCAACCAAGGGCAGGGGTTGTTGGTCAAATTCAAAGGCAGTGGTTGGTCTGGAGGCCTTCTCTCCTGACCTGAAGCAGGTGGGAACAACACTGGAGCTTTCCAGCCTGCCTTGCAGATAAGAATTATTTATTTGCAGAATGTTAAATACCGATCTCAGATCAGTCAAAATGGAATGATTGGGGCCTGGGCATGGGTGTATTTGAAAGCTTCCCAAGTAATTGGTTATTCATTGAGATTGGAGAAAGACTCATCTGCATTTTTTTTTAAGATTTTATTTATTTATTTGACAGACAGAGATCACAAGTAGGCAGAGAGGCAGGCAGAGAGAGGAGAAAGCAGGCTCCCCGCTGAGCAGAGAGCCTGATGTGGGGCTCCATCCCAGGACCCTGGGATCATGACCTGAGCCGCAGGCAGAGGCTTTAACCCACTGAGCCATCCAGGCGCCCCTCATCTGAATTCTTAAGGCAGCTAAACTACAGGTCGGAGCCATGAGTGTCGTTGGTTTGCTTTACTTACAAGATTTACTTGCCAAATATCCCAGTGCTTTCCTTTTGCCAAGTACTGTGCTAGGGGGAGCAAACACAGACTTGATTTTTGCTTCATGACATTTATAGTAGAGGAAGTAAAAGACATTAATTTGATAGTTACTAATAAATAAAGTATAAAATTGCAGCTGTGTTAATGATATAAAAGAGGGCCACATAGTGCCAGTGAGAGCCTGAAAGTCTGGCCTAGTAGGTGATAATCTAAATAGTGACGATTGTTTACCATGTCCCTGCTTCTGTTTGTGCCTTTTGCACTTGTTGACTTACTGCTTCACAACAGTCTCATAAGGTCGTGTTCTCATTCCCGTGCTCCGGAGAGGAGACAAGCAGAACATGTGAATTCCTCTAACATCAAGTAGGCAGTGAGTAGCAGAGCCCGTGCAGTGACTGCCCGTTTTCACTCAAGGCCTGCCACTTTTAGGGGAAAAATAAAACTGAAGTCCCCATTTATCTCCCCCTTACCCTCTTTGCCACTCTTTCTTCCCTCTCATGAGTGGGTGGAATCTGAAGGGGTGAGGAGCCCAAGTTAAAGGGCAAGTGAAGTTATCCTCCGGAGATCGGGACTAGGGTGATGGTCAGCCGGGGAGGACAGAAATGAACAGGTTTAAGAACTACTTAGGATGAAAAATCAGCTAATTTTGGAATGGGTCTGTAAGGATGGGTATGAAGATGACTCTAAGTTTATACTTTTACAACCAGATGGATGATAATTTGCCTCTTAAATCCTCATTTTCCCAGTACTTGGAGTTCTTCACTTTCAGACTTTTTTTGGTCATTTAAGCAGCAGACCTATTAAGTTCTTTAAGGAAACTTTTCATAAAATGTTTATAGTTTAGATGAATGGGAAAATCTTACCCCTTGACACATGTTTCTGGTCAAATGAATTGCCTGTTAGATTCTTAGAGACTCATCTGGTTTCCTAAGTGCAAGTTTCTATCATCGGCACAGTTTATTTTAGAATTATCTCGAGTGGGGATGGCTTATCTTGCTGCCTGTTGATCTAGAAACAAGCAAAATTGAATGAGATGAAGTAGGCAGTGCCACTGGGATGTTCCCTTGTACTTTCTAGGAGATCTGCAGGTGCTTAAACATGGTTTGTACGGATAGCTCGGTAAATGCAGCAGCAGGGTCTTTTAGAAATTTTTCCGTAAGTGAAATTCTGCAAATATGTACCTTGACTTCATAAAATAATAGACTACCTCCAGCAGGATAAGAAGATATTCTGGGAAGCCGACAGAACAGAAAACGTAGAGGTGGGATTATGCACAGGATGATCCGATGAGAAGGATCTGGAGAACAGTGTGGAATGACAAGCCTACAGGAAGCCAGCATTCTCAGTTGCTTTCCTGGTACTAGAGAATTTGGCATTAATAAAAATGATATATTAGAGAGAGGCTTTGGTTAGGAATGTAGCATTTTTGTGAAACATATGACAGTCCTTTGAAATAAAAATTCCTGATCTTTTCAAACTACCTTTCAAAATTTCATGACTTGAGGAAATAACTTTGTTTTTGTCTTTCCGAGTGTCTTTACTGTTAAAAGGAAAATTTTCTCACTTAACACTTGCATCTATTTAGATTAATAATTGTATTAATTTCGGGGTGCCTGGGTGACTCAGTCACTTTAGCCTCTGCCTCTTGATTTCGGCTCAGGTCATGATCTCAGGGTTCTGAGACTGAGCCAGAGGAGGGCTCTGTTCTTCGTGCAGAGCCTGCTTAAGACTCTCTCCCTCTCCCCTTGCCCCTCCCCTGCCCTAAAAATAATTTTAGAAAATAATTGTATTAGTTTCCTATGACTGCTATAGCAAATTACTACAAATTTAGTGGCTTAAAACAACAGAAATTTATCCTCACGGTTCAGAAGCCTGGAAGTCCAAAATCACTATCCCTGGACCACAACTGAACTGTCAGGTGGGCTTTGTTCCGCTAGAGGCTCTAAGAATTGATTCCTTGCCTCTTCCAGCTTCTTTCTGGTGCCTGCTGGCGTTCCTGGGCCACATCACTGCCTTGGGGGTCACATTGCATTCTCTGTCAGATCTCTCTCTGTCTTTTATAAGAATGCTTGCAATTTCACTTAGAGCTCATCTGAGTAATCCAGGATAATCTCCATTTCCCAAGATCCTTAAATAATCACATCTGCAAAGACCCCTTTCCCATATAAAGAAACATTTACAGGTTCCAAGGATGGGGACCTAATACTTTGAGGGTCATTATTCAGCCTACTACAGTAATTATTTTTTATATTCAGACAGTCTACTCAGGAGGATTCTCAGAGATCTGTAAATGACATTAAGTTATAAATGTCAGATAAATCTTACCTGTTTCCAAATTCCACTAAAGTGAAAATGTCATGTATAACGTCCATTATAATTATACTTTGTTCACAGGACATTTATTTATACCATCATGTTCCAGGAAGAACTTACAGCAGTTTATACATGTATAAGAAAACACAGCAAGATAATCTAAACTAGAAACAGGTGAATGAAAATAAACAAGGATCAGAACAGAAAATGAGGCAAGGAATGAAGCTGTAGAAAACTGAATACAGTTAAATCCTTTTTCCTTAATATTGCATGGAAGACAAAGTCTTGCTTTGTAAACGAAGTATGTTATTTTGTTAGAAAACATTAAAATAATCCCTCTTCTCCATGCCAAATAGCAACAGGCTAAGTCTCTTATGGTGTAGGGATCATATTACTCGAGGAAAATACTTGTTTTGGATATTTCAGGGACTATAATCATAAACCTCAAACTATGGGAGGTAGGTGTTACATATTTTAATTTATGGTTTTTAAAGATTTTTTATTAAGAGTATTCTTACTGCCTTCAAAGCTACCTCCTGTAGTTTTATTTTCCCTCCAAAAGTGTTAACATAGGGAGTATTGCATTCATAATTAGTCAGTCGTTTGCAGCAAACTTATACTGTTATTTTAATTAAAAATTCTTATAAAATCTAATCATAAAAATGATAGATATTAGAGTATATTGGAACCTTTTTTGAATTTTTGCCCTAATATTCTTCTTGTTTTCTTAATACTTTGGGTAGGTAGAATCTGAGAAGTTGCTTCAAAAAACTTATAAGCAGGAGAGTCCATTTTTGTGGCCTGTGACAAGATTTGATTCTTAGTGAGATGCAGTAAATAATAAATAAGTGCTTTGGCAAATATTGATTTGCTAAATATTTCAACACATATTTATTGATTACCGTAGTAATAGCAAATACCC